TTCTCGTGCTCCTCCTTCTCCTCCGGCACCGGCTGCTGACGATGATCCTGAGTTTTAACAACTTATGCAAGATATTGACGATCACGTTCCAGACGATGAGCCTGCACCGGAACCGGCATGGCAAGAAGATCAAATGCCACCATATTTTCGATCCTTCTTGGAGTCTTTTGATCTGAGGTTTGCCTCCATGGAGTCTCAGATTACTTAGTTTCAGCAGGAGATGCGTGAACGTAAGGACGCGCTCACTCTTGAAGTTCGAGCTCATTATCCTCCTCCTCCCGACCCTCCGATGGATTAGACATTTTCTCCATGCTTTCTTAGTATTTCAAACTTAGATTATTTTTTATGTTTTTGGATTGTTTGTTTTGGATTGTTAAATGCTTTCATTTGTTATGGTTTGGATGACTGGATTTTGAACTTAATATATATATATATTTGGTTTGGTTGAATTTTCTTATTTTTGCATCATTAGATATATATGACCAATTATGTCATTTCACATTTGATTATGAATATTGATTATGGAACTAATGGTTAATCTCTCTTTTGATTGTGATCTTAGCAGCTTAAGTTATATATATATTTAAAATTAATTGGCTATGCTTTTCAAAACCTTCTTTAAAACGTTTTTAAAAGTCTTTTTGATTTAACAAAAAAGGGGAGAAATATTAAGTGTTAAAGGGGGAAGTGTTGTAGTAAGGGGGAGTAATTTTTCAAAATTGATTTTAAAATTTTAGAAAATCTTAAAATAACACAAATGTGTTGTTATATCAAAAAGGGGGACATTGTTGAAAACATTTTTGTGTTTTGATATAACAAATTAAGTTTAAAAGAATTTTAAGATTTTACAAATGATTTTCTAAGTATATTCGATTTAATAAATCGAATATCAAATTATTACTCCCAGTCTTTCAAGTTCAAATTCAAACCTTACTAAATGTGTAAAATTGTGTTTTATACTTAAACTATTTTTGTAACAATTTTCATAAAGTATTTTGAACCAAAATCAAGCCTAAAATCAATTGATCAAAGTAATGCACCGATGCACCAATCCATGCATCGATGCACCATGAATTAAATTGAACATCGATGCACTGAGGATTTTATGAAAACATCGAATGCATTTGATGCATCGATGCACCTGGCATGCATCAATGCACTCTGACTATTTTGAAACATCGAATGCACTTGATGCATCGATGCACTCTTAGTGCACCGATGCACTAAGGGTCTAACGGTCAAAATATTTGAATTTTACATTGATGCACCGATGCACCATGGGTATGTATCGATGCACTGATGCTCCCAACTGCTTTAATTAATTGTCTTCACACTTAAACGGCTCTATTGACTCCACTAAGCATCCCCAACGTTCAGAATCATTTGAATGTGTATTTAAACAAGCTTAGAAGCCATTGATCAATAACAAGAAACAACAATCAACAAGAATCAAGAGAGAATCAAAGAGAAAGCATAAAACCTCAAGTTTGAGCATTTCAGGCCTATTTTTCATTCAATATTCATTTTGCTTTCAAGAATATTATTTGTACTCAATTGTATTCATTTTTAGTGTTCTTTTCTTTGTTCTATAATTGTGCAAATAATCTACCTTGTGAGGATTTCCTTGTAAGTTTGCAAATTTGTAATCTTCTCTTTGAGAAAGAGTGTTCTCAAGAATTGGGGTATATTCTTGAGGAAATTGTAAGGTTATCTCTTTGGCCTCAAAAGAATGAACAAATTAGTGAATTTGTTGGAAAATCCTTAGTGTGGATAGCTAAGGTAGTGGACGTAGATTTTGATTGAGAAAGTCAAACCACTTTAAATCGTTGTGCAATTACTTTCAATTTTCTACAAAAACTTCCACCAAAATTTTAATTGTCAATTCACCCCTCTTGGCCGATTCCGTCGATCAATTAACTCAACAATCTTTGATGCATCTTGACAGTATGTGTCTGCTCCTTCGAAATACTCAAGACTCCTCTCTCTCCTAATGAAATTGAAGGAATTTTAAGTCAATTTTAGAATAATAATAAGCAAGAGTTTACCCTTCAAAACTCGAATGGCCTAAAGGAGTTCAACATGCCGATCCATGGCAAAGAAGATAAGATTCCTTGATTCAAACTCCCTCCCATACATCATCCACCTGCATTAGTTACCTATCCCTGATCAGCAGTCTATTTAAAAATGGTTAATCATGCAATCATTGAATGTCTAGAAATGTGAAAAGCGTGCTATACTAATCACCTTCTCTCTTCTCGGCCTATCAGCTTCCCAGATCTTCCTTGAAGTCGCATTGGGATCTATAATTAAAGCAGTTGAAATAGAAGATGATCGGAACGAATTTGTACATGTTAGAAATCAACTCCGCTCCTCAGCACATATGCATTAACCCATCTCCTTCTATAAAATGACTGAATCTTCTCAGCATAAGACGAATTCCTAACAGTCCAATTATCAAACTTAACCTCCACCTTATCCAACAAGGACTTATAATCAACAACAGTTAATTTCCTATTACCATCCTTTTTATTAAAGGTTTTTTTTTGTTTATTATATACGAACCCAATAGCAAAGAAGAATAAACTTTTATCAAATTTCCCACTACCATCACTTTTAATTAAAAAGCAAGTGGGATTCCCACTTACTTAAAGGGACCCCATTGTCTATTCTGACCATTTAAAGGGAAACCATGAGTGAATCTGTTCCTTAGTGCCTTTGTTCAAAGTTATCTTCATGCACCACTTACTTCCTCAGTATTTCTTTTTGTAATTTTTTTCTTCACAAAGTTGTATACACATATAGGTTGATTCGAATTGAATAAAAACATTATATTTGTTTTTAATCCTTTTGAAAATAACAAACACCGTCAATATTGATGACTGATTAAGTCTGCTTAATCATAATTCCATAGGTAGACGATGATAATCATTCATATACATATGTCAGCTCTCTCTTTAGAGGACATGTATGATGGAGCATACGTGTGACGCGTGATATATAGTCTCCTATTTATTTGGTTTGCCACTGCTAATTTATGCATCAATTCAATGACTTCCCACCTCACTACCAACCAGGGATGGGTAGAAGGGAATGAGTAGGGTAGTTGTCATTCTAAAATTTTCAAATCATCATATTCATATATTTTAGATTTTTTTTTTTTTGCATTTTTTATTGATAATATGTTTTCCCTTCTAAAATTTTAGAATTATTCTCCCTCTTAAAAATTTATAAATTTGTTTCATAACATAAAATCATACGTTAATTACTATACCAATTGTAATGAACTCCATAGGTTTAGTAGCCCCATAATGAACTCACCTAGAGTATCATTGAAGTATAGAATGACTCGTTTTCGGTATAGTTGAAGTCCAAGTGCCAATTGTCTGACCCACCAACGTTGATTGTGTTGGGTCCTTGTGTTTGGTTTGGGGGATGATAAGGACCCAGTCCCGGTTAAACCCAGAGCCCCAGTCCTTCACAACTAAGGGATCTAGCCCTGAAATAATTTACTCTAGGACCCCAAAAGATAAGCATACCATGAATGAAACTGAAGGACCCCAAAAGATCTATGTCGGTGGATCAGAGAACTGGCACTTTGGCTTCAATTACTCGAACAGGGCATTCCAAAATGCGCCCTTCTACTTCAACGATATTCTAGGCCACTTCACAATGCTAAAATCAAAAGCTTAGTTATTTACATTTGTTGAAATCAAGAAATGGTGTTTGAATTGGTTTTGCAGTGTTCAAATGCGATCCACCAAGCAACACCACTTTCACTCGCAACGTTTACTTATTCCCCGACCGAGAGAGCTACTTGAATTGCAAATTTAAGAGAGCAAAGATGATCGCAAACGCAACCCAAGGCGGTGGCGGTGGCGTCAAGTTTGTGCTCAAGAGGTGGAGGCTTACTATGGTTGCAGTTGGCATTACTAAGCACTTGGAGATCATCACAAAGGAAAGTGGACATCCATTATGCAATACGCAATACACAGTGTTGTATTTCACTTTTGATGACAATTAATATGTAATTGTTGGTTGAGAAACGGCTAGCTTTGGTTTATTTTATGTTCCAATGATAACAAAATAAGATGAAATATATGTTGTAGTTAAACGTATTTAGACGAAAGTAGTATTAGAATGAATGACGTTTAGAGAAGTCATTGTTTATATATATATATTGCAGCTGTATTAGCGATTTTTTAAAATTTATTAATGATTAAACTAATTAGCTTCTATTTTTATTTTAAATACTTTTAAATAATTAAAATCATAATCAAACGAGAATACAAAGAGTCGTATTTCCTCTTACGGTTGAATTTTGTAACTTAGGATTATGTTATGAGTTAAGAGATCGGTTTGCTACACTCAAGGGAGTCAAAGGTACAAACGTTTACGTGATGTAACCGTGACAAATTTACATATAACAATGGGTCAACCAGTTGATTTTTATTAAATGGCTTTTGGCTTTTTAGGTGGGGAATTAAAGAAGGTTGGTGAATCTTAACATTCTTTGCCTCTTTGTTTGAGTACTTTCTATCATAATTTTAAGTCGGCGAGCGGACAAATAAAGAAAATACAATAAACAATTAAATATTATTCTGGGAAGATTTTGGAAAAGTTTAGGGAACGGTAAAAAATATATATAAGCGCTATCAAAAATGTTTTAAAGTGTATAATATTTTCGGTTGAATATAACTTAAAATGTTTTATTTTTTAAAAAATTTTAATTGAACCGAGAATATTATATTCTTCAAAATATTTTGAAACCAAAAACACGTAGTTAAAATCTATTAATTAATCAAATAATTAAATATTTTATTATTTTATTTGGATTTGAAATTTTGATATTTACCTTTTAAAACATAATCTTTGTATTTTTTGGATAAGGAAATTACAGTTACTATATAAAGAAAGAACTCAGAGAAAAAGACAGGATTAACACAAAATCCAAAACCTTAGTTTATTCAACATTTAAAACACCCCAAGTGAGTAACAAAGAGGCTCAACATTCAGCACAAAAACACATGCACTGCATCTTCCCTGGAAATTCCGAGGCCTAAAGTGATTCATCAGTGGTGCCGACGTCGCATCGGCACAACGGCGAATTTCATGAGTCCAACCTTGCAATGGAAGCCGTTACGTTCGCCGCAAGCAAGGTAGTAAGGCTTCCTCTTCTTCAACACAAACTCAAACCCGTTCCCGCTTCCTTGAGTTGGGTTGGCAATTACCTTGCCTCTCCTTAAATCGCAATTGAGGAAGCTTTTTAAGTTGGGTAGCAAGTAGACATTGTGAGGAAACGTGATTTTGCTGGGTGCATCATATTTGAACACTGCCAAAAGTATTGACTACATGAGTGATCCAACGCGGCAAAAACAATGGAGAATTAAGAATGGTTAGGTTTGTTTTTGTTACCTAGAGTGTCGTTGAGGTAGAAGGGAGCATTTTTGAGTGACCAATCGGTGTAGTTGACGCCAAAACGCCAGTTTTGGGATCCACCAACGATGATTCTTTTAGGCTACTGGTATGACTTTGCCTCCCCAAGTCCTTGTTTCCCAAGCTTACTCCCACCACTGAAGCAGCAACCATGACCAAAATAAGGCCTCCACGGCCAAATTTGAAACCCATTTTTAGAAACAGGCCAAATTTTGAGGACAAAAGTAGTAATAGTTGGATGTATTGTTTGATGCCATTGGAGCATGACCAGACAGGGATTTTATAGGCAAAGATAAAGAGAGATGTTGTAATTAATGGTGTGAACCTGCCAAATCAACCTTTTTCAACGTTGGTAGGCAATGAATTTATGAAATTAATAGAAGTTGACATTTTCTCAAGTCATTCACATTTCTTTATTGTTACTTTAGAGAAAAAAACTATCTTGTTTGGTAATATTCTATCGATAATAAAGTTCATCATCTTAAATCACGTTAATTTTTCCTACTAATTATGTGAAATAAGAAAAAAAATGGTTTACTTTTATTTGAAAAGAAAGGTGAGATGTGAGGGGAAATGACTTTCTTGTGTAATTTTTTTTAAAGAAAACGGGTCTCATTAAAAACTTTGACTTATAAGGGAAAAGAGTGTCATAAGACCTTGAATTGTCATAAGAAGAATCATTGGATACGGAAGACGTAATAATATCAGGACAAACCGAGTCAAAATACAAGATATTTCCAGAATGGAGAGTCCACTTAACCAAAGTATGTGCCACATTATTACAAACTCTAGGAACAAAACACATTTTGTAGTTTAAATTACCATCCAAAATCCTACGAGCTTCCTGAATATGATAACCCAACGTGGACAAGTCCTCCTTTGTTCGAGACATCTTATTGACTACAAGTGTTGAGTTTGATTCAAAATTACATGCGTCCACAGATACTCACTCGCCAAAGAAAGTGTTGCATTCAGGGCATGTAACTATTGCGTGGGAATAGATGAGTAATCTCCGATAAGGGAGATTAATTTCGACCCACCCCATTTATCCTCAGTCATATGGACGTAGCTATCTCGTCCAAGATGAGCACCAAGTATATCACTATTTGGATAGTAATTTGCTTTTCATACCCGTGCCAATGAGCATCTGGGTGTTGAATTAAACGCCAAACTTATTTACCAAAAATTGCTAAATTAAATGATCGTAGAAAATCAAGTCCCCTTGACATTTCGGTGCACATATCAAAAAAAATTATAAATTCATTTTAGGTACTATCTAACGAAATTTTAATTTATATTATAAATTAACTAATATTTAATAATTCGTTGAACCTCAGATTCGATTTGTTGAACTTGAATAATTCGTTAGAATATCACTAGTAGCCAATTAGCACAGCCAACGTTAAAAGTAAAATTCATGGCCAACAAGTGCTAGCAGACTTGTAAAAGAAACAATACAAAATTGTACATTTTATACCAATTTTGCATGAAAGACAACAGGAGTTCAAATTTCGTAGTCCTAACGAAAACTCTTATTAGAAGAATTGGTTCAAGCCTCGGATTTTTAGTAAAGTTTTGAGTTTTGCTGCAATTCTTCCTATGCTTCCATTGAAACCCGAGGGAGATGAGTTAAATCAAACAACACACCTACGATAAATCTACGGCTTCATTATTCTTTCCGATTTCCGTCAGCTGAAGATTGCATACCTAGTATTTTATCGAACGGTAAAAAGATCGCAACAGTGGAAAGACAATCGATGCTCTTAACCATCCTAATTATCAGCATCTGCATTGCACATTCCAGACAACATCAGGTATCCATCTCGAGCAGTCGAAAATAATAAAAGCACACCGAGAAACCAACAACATCACAACATACCAGTTGAGTGTGGTTGGAACATCTTCTGGTATCTCCTTCTCTCCTCGTTGTGCCGATCATTGATCTGCTCGGCAAGTTTTATTGAATAAACAGGTTTGTTAGTAAACACGCAACCTGGTACGGGCATTTCAATTTGAAATTCTATCTGCTAACCTTTTTCGTGGCAGCAGCAAGCTCTTTCTTTATACCACCTGAAACACAATATGCAAAAGTTGCTAAGTTCATTGTAGCCATGCCAAAGTTTAAGTTCAGCACTAACCATCATTTGGCTCCAATTGCAAAGCTTTCTTGAAGCTTTCAACGGCAGCATCGACATCATTAAGTGCCATGTTTGCCTGCAGATGAGTATCGAAATCATTAAGATCATAATGTGCTTGAATTGACGGAAAGTGCAAAAGAATAAAACCAAAAGGCAGCTTCTAAGGAAGGTCAACGGTATGGTATGCCTGCAGATGACTAACTCGGACCAAGTACAAGCCAAAGCCACCAGCATCCAAGAGATCAAAATAATCACCAAGGATAGATACTAACCTGGCCTTGACGAAACAATGCTTTCACATTGTTTTCTCCGTCACGCATAGCAAACTCTGTGTCTAACAGTGCACCTTTCAGATCTCCTAGTTTCAGTTTACATGCCTAAAGCCACATAACTCAGTAAATTAGTGCGGCATAGGTTGCAAAATTATTCAAACCTACAGTCCCCAATATTAGCCAAGGAGCGAAGAATGAAGCTTACAGAGCTATTTGTGAATATCTGAGATTTCGTCTTTCTCAATCTCGAACTCTTCTCTGTAAGGCAACAGCATAGTACATTAAGAATTATAAGTGAAAGACGATGTAGTGTACAGCCAACAAAAGAAAATCACCTTCGTCGATCCCTTCTTTCTCCCAGCAGATATCTAAGTAGCGTAGAGCCTTCCGGTACTTTTTGTGTGCCATCTTGTAGTCTTGTTTCTATTAAGAAAATCCATTAGCACAAATGACACCTCAAAGGATTAAATCAGAAACATGGGATAGAAAGAATGAGCAACCACATGCCGTAATTAGCGGGTCACTACTAATAAGCATGCACAATCCCATTACCTTGTAATGTTCATTTCCAAAAGTCTTAATTGAATCTACAGCTGTCATCCACCAGGAGAGCTCATCAGGGCTCTCATCGAGGTCAGCTGGCCAATCGGCGTAAACATCACCATCGTTGAAAAAATTGGATATCCCATCATCTGCCCCCTCTGGAATTTCTCCACAATCAGATATCATAACATCGACGGTGGGACAATCCGATTCTCCGGTTGTTACATGTTCAATCGAACGAACAACGCCTATTCCTTTAACAACCTTGCCAAATACAACATGTTTCCCATCTAAGTGAGAAGTGCGGGTTGTAGTGATGAAGAATTGTGAACCGTTTGAGTTAGGACCAGCATTTGCCATAGATAATATTCCTTTCCTTTCATGTTTCATTTCGAAATTCTCGTCTCCGAATTTCAATCCATAAATCGACTCTCCTCCAGTACCATCTCCGGCAGATATATCTCCACCTTGTACCATAAATCCTTTGATAACCCGATGAAAACAAACTCCCTGAGATAAAAAGAAATTCAAAATTCAACAGAAATGAAATTCCCATCCAAAGCCATTACTAAAGCAAAAAGAGAAGAACAATTGAATCCTTAGTGACATGCTGGCTGCCAAAAAAAATTATGTCAATGAATGTTAAATGAATTCTTCTACTTCCTTTGGTTTTAGGGACGATCAAAGATTGAAACTTTAGAGCTTAGAGAGAAGAAACATTCACAGGCAACAAAAGAATCTAGGAGATTGCCAAATAAACAACAAAAATGGATTAAAAAAATCCAAATATAAGACTCTTGTTCAGAATGTTCCTAGTTCCTACCAAAAACAACTATTTCAAAGAGAAAAGGAAAACCCCACAACTTTGAACCACTCCAAGAACACAAAAACCATTTCACAAAGCCATAAGCAAGACCAACAAAAACCCAGAAATCAACCAAATACAATAAGGAAAATACCAGACAGGAAAAGTGGAAGAGAAAGAAAGGACCTTGTAGTGAAGAGGGACACCGGTGTTGGGACCAATGCCCTTCTCACCAGTGCAAAGAGCCCTGAAATTCTCAGCAGTTTTGGGCACTACATCATTGAACAATTCCACTATTATCCTTCCTTCAAGCTCTTCTCCAATGCTTATATCCAAATAACACCGTTGCCTCCTCATCATACTCATACTATATCCCTCTTTTCAATCTCTTTTCTTCCCCTTTCCTCTTTCCTCTTTTTCACTTTGTTGCTATACAGGTAACTTTTGTTAATACACACACACACACACACACATATATATATATATATATGAACATAGAAAAATCTACCCGATCTCTATCTCTAGAGACTTCCATTTTGTCCCTGTAAAACCCTAATCCCACTATTTTTTATTTGATTTATTTATTATCCCAAATTAAAAAAAAATGGGATCTTTCTGACTTGGGAGTTTAGGTAAGCAACTGGTCTGCTCCCCCTTCTCTCACTGTTTTTCTTTTTTTCTTTTTTCTGTAGAAATAATTGTACAATACAAGACTCTGTACTTTGGCTTCCATTGATTAACCTTGTTTATGTAGTTTTTTTTTCAGGCATCGATTACATTACCCCTCTCTATAAATAATAAATAATTTGTTTGTTTTACCCATCTTCGGGCACATAGTACAGGCAGCATACGGAGAGATGTCAGCATGATTGAGATCTTGCATTTGTAATTGTACTTTGCACGCCCAAAACAAAATCCCAGGATTTTGTTTTGTTTTCTTCGTGGATTATCAATTCATCAACCCTAAATCATGCTAATGTTTCCTATAGGGTAGCTGTAATAGTTTACCATATGAAATTAATTTAATAATTATAAGATAGTTTATTGGTGTTTGTGTGGTGCGCACAGAAACATGATTATAATTTGTGGTGAATTTAATTCAAAATGTCATGTATGTTAAAAATTAGACAATTAATATTAATTTTAGTTATAATTAAAAATGTTATATTATCTTAACTTCAAATATTTTATATATATTTTAAATAATTACACGATTGGTAATAATTTTAATTACAACCGATAATGTTATATGAATTTCTTTACAATAACTTTTTAGATTGTAAATAGGATAATTGTCGTGAATAATGTACTTTTTCGGTTTAAACTCAAAATGTTATTTAATTTACTCTAATGAATTACACATTTGATAAAATTTTCGGTTATAATTGATTATAATATTTTCCTAATGCTATATCAACCGATTGTATTTTATAA